TCTTCTTCTTAACCACAGGTTGGAATTAAATCAAATTTGACTGGAAGCATCTCTAGGTGGTTGGGATTCAAAATTGTACAAATGGTGGGGCTGACCCCCCAGGGGGCTGAGGGGCGGGGCCAAAAGGGGGCAATTTGGTTATATTGCTATAAATGACTTCTTTTGCAGAACTATGCCATGGATATTGATCATATTTGGTCAGAAGTATTCATGGGGGGCAGGGATTCAAAATTGTACAAATGGTGGGGCTGACCCCCCGGGCTAAGGGGTGGGGCCGATAAAATGCATTACTTGGAAATGGTTGAGATCCCCACCATATAACCATATATACAATTGCTGAGTATAAAGAGAATAATGTACATTTGCTTCCAGGATGTCCCTAGGGTCTGGCCCCATCCTTGGAGACATAGTCCCTGGGCCATAACTTTAAAACGGTTGAGATCCCCACCCCAAAACTATATATACAAATGCTGGGCATAAAGAGACGAATGCAATCATGATATCAGAATAGACCCTGGGGTCTGACCGAATCCCTAGGGACCTAGTTTCTTAGTCACAGCTTGGAAACAGTTGAGAGCCCCACCCTATAACCGTATATATACAATTGCTGAGTATAAAGAGATGATTGCACATATGCTTCCAGGTTGGCCTTGGGGACTGCCCCACCCTTGGAGACTTAACCCCTGGGTCATAACTTTGAAATGGTTAATATCCCCACCCCAAAACTATATATACAATTGTTGGGCATAAAGAGACGAATGCAGTCATGACATTAGAATTGATCCCAGGGTTAGCCCCACCCTTGCAGACTTGGCCCCTGGGTCATAACTTTGAAACAGTTGAGATCCCCACCCCAAAACTATATATTCAAATGCTTGGCAAAAAGAGACAAATGCAGTCGCGATATTAGAATCGATCCTGGGGTCTGGCCACAACACTAGGGAGTCAAAGCTTGGAAATAGTTGAGATCCCCACCCATAACCATACATAAAATTGCTGGGCATGAAAAATCTAATATAGCTATGCTACAAGGATTGGCCTTGGGGTCTGGCATATTCCTTTGATCTCATTTGGAGAATAGTTTGCCATGATTGCTTAGGTATCCAGGTGAGCGATACAGGCCCTCTGGGCCTCTTGTTACATATATAGAGACTTTGCAACCTATTGATTTTTGCACAAATTCATATAGAGTTGCAATCGTAATTTGATTTGTTCACAAGGAACTTAATATTATATATGAAATGTAAATTGATAGGTTTGCAAAATTATGCAATTGCAAGTTATATCTAAAAAAATGTAAAACAAATTGTGAAAAAATCATATATAAAAAAAAATCATGATATATGAAATGTAATGATAGGTTTGCAAAATTGCTCATAATTTTCCCCAGTTTAAGAAATATCTTGACTAAATTCAGAGGCAATGCTATCATCGAGATATTAGTCACGTTATGCACATGAAATACTATAAATATATAGCATATCATAATTTCAACATAGAAGTTGTGATATTGCTTAAGTACTAGTGCTTCATGAGATGCACAAGTTAAGGATCCTTGGTCCATTGCCAGAAACTAGCTCTGCTGTGCATTGGAAACTTATACCTGCATGACTTCAGCTTTGGTAAATTATTTCTAGAAAGAAAACCGTGTATTGCAGAACTTAATGAAAAAATGTATAAAGGTGATAAAGGAAAATTTGTGCACAGTTTTCTGAGTGAAAGTAGAAAATGAAATGGAGGCAGACTAGGATTCGAACCCTGGACCCCTGATCACAGCTTGGCTGCTTTAACTCACTGATCAAACTGTCAGTGATAGCTCATGTCACTACAGTTATATCCAAAGGGGAATTAACGGGAGGTTATTTTCTGTATGGAATGCCAGCAGTGGGACTGGAATACTTAAAAGTGGAATGTTTTCTGTTGGGAAATTCTAATGATCCACTAATCAGTTTTTAAATTAATTGCTCATGATTGACCGAGTTTGCAACATGCAGAATGTGTAGGAGCTAGGAACAAAATGATGATATTGTCATAAAGATAGGCTTGAATAAAAGCTGAACGGTCTAATGTGCTGTATTCAGATTTGTTATGGTGATCATCCATATTTCCAGAAATGGTCGATGCTTTTTTCCCCAGTTTCATCCCAGGGTCTGTTTCCCCAAAACATTCTGATAAATTCCTGATTCTGAAGGGCAATACTTGAACATGATCGGCATGTGTAGATCCCAGCTTATTGCTCATGCTATTGAGGTTAAGGTTAAAGCTATCCCTGATAGTGTTATTGGTTGCTGGGGTGGGTAAGATCTGAAGGAAAATGTCAGATATTGGTTCATGTATCCCTTTTTCGAACATCGGGGCAGTCTCTATGAGGTGGTCTAGGGTACATCCAGCTATCAGGATGTTTGACATCTTGTGCATTCAATTAATGTCAGTTCTGTTCCTAGGTTTTACACATGACAGCTTGTAGCATTTAGAACACACTTACTCAGAAACCTGCTTGAATGCTCAAAATATACAACCATCATGGAAACTTTCACAAATTTCTTATTTTTCAATTCAAGTTAAGATTCAAAACAACCATCAGAAGAATTGTGCAGTTACAAAAAATTAAAATAAAGATTTCTGAGATTTAAAGATTAAAAGTGATTGAAAGAATCTGTATTGGGATGACCATACTTTGCGATATATATAGAGTGTACGAGAACATGATGACCTGCAGGCATTGCAAGACATTCTGCAGTCTGGGGCATTCACTAGCTCTCATGTGTATACCTTTCATACGGACTGGACTGGACATAGTTTATCATTGTCATAAGCTGCCCTCGTCTGGTATGAACCACCACCATATATTTGTTCCTAAGGTACTATTTCATATCCAATATCTGTTAACAGAAATAACACTACTGATTGGTTAAAACTGACAAAGACCACCTCCTAATAGGCAAGGTTTGAATTCCACACGCTTCATGTAAATACCATAGAACTTGTTGATCAGTATATGCATATATATGTAATGCCACAAAGCGGTGCTGCTCTTAAAATGAAATCATTTGAAATCATTTGAAATCACAGAAAATATGGAATCGTTTCAAATATCAATTTGTATGTCCTATCTTCATACATATACTTATCACTTTTTTAAAAACAAATTCATTGGGAAGAATTTGTATGGCTAAATTTTAGAATGTCTAAAAAGTACTTAAAATAGAATCAATGTAATTTATAAAATATTAGTGTAAATTGCTATAGTCTCCAAGCTGTTCTATACTGTTAATTGATTGACTAATTGAATATAATTTGTATAATCTCAAAAATGAGAAATGACAGTTGCGCTACCTTAAAAAGGGAGATTTGGTTTAAGGATGTGTCTGATATGTTGTGTAGACAATTTTTATTTAAACAAATTTCTTTAAAGTAGTTACTTTAGTTTGTTATTTTATAAACCTTAATGTGAATTGTGTGTCTAGATGAAGGATTCTGATTTTGTGTAAAACACATCAGCTTCTGTTAAACCAATAGAGCAGAGTAGATTACCTGTGCATTGTACTATGTAGGATGGATTGTGAGGCTTGCACATTACATATAATACAAGCTGCAGGGCTGTACAGGTATACTTAGATACAAAGTAACTGTCGGAATCAATTATAACATTGTGACTCGAAAAAGATTTAGTCGTATATACTGTATGTATATAAACTCAGGTATGTAGTGAGAGGGCTAGGGTTTGCCAGGTATTTTTGGCCCGAAGTTTGCCTATCCTTTATACCTGATGTCATACTTATGTAGCCGAGGGGAGGCCTGCCAACTGACCTATGTACATATATACTAAGTACACACATCTATCTGGACTCTCCTTTTCACTTCATTAACCTGATGAGATTTTAGAATCTCAAACAATACTTTTTTATAGCATTCTTTTAATATTTGAATATTTTCCGAAATCTGATTTTCATGTGATAATTTTGAATACCTCCACATGAAGAAATAATGTATTAAATTTTAATAGTGTGGTGAGAAAAAAAACCGTTGAATAGTTTTAATGTCAACTTGCCATTCAACTATTCTGACCACCAGCTGGTGAAATAGAATAGTGAGGCCGGGGGAAGATGGGTTAAGACCAGAACTCTATAATCATAATTAGTCATTGATGTGTTGTCCCTGATATATTCCTTAGAAGAAAAAGTTAATTTTTAACAGAAAATGCAGTTAGATTTTCTGAAATGGTGAAAATACGGCCCAGGGGATTTTAAATAACAACCACCGTAATATTTCAGTGACAAGGATTTGAAGTTGTCCCGATCGAGACATGTGGCCAATAGATCCTCAGATGGTTGAGATACATACACCAGCATATACCTGGCCTGATCATATGCCAAGGAGCCCTGGGGCCAATTCATGATGAAAAATTATTTAAGTCTAGTAAGCTGTCCTAACCAGAGATTAACTCTTCCAACAGCCTTATGTTTGTACAACCCATAGAGTAGAATGACGCCGGTCTATTTCAGGCTCACATTCCCACATATGCTGGTACCATTTTGTGTATCTAGGATACCAAGGATACAAATTTATATTCAAATAGTTTACTACAGAGCAATACTGGTGGTAAATGTTGTTGAGTTTCTTGTTATAATGTTATTAACTTATTCACCCCTGAAATTTCAGGATTCACTATTCCAGCCTTTGAATTGGAAGAGTCTAAATGTATCTTCAGGGGTGAATGAGTTAATGTTACTGACCTGTCTAGTCTGACAATCTGTAGGACATAACATTCGTTAGACTAGACAGAATGTCGGAATACAGATGTCTTGTTTGGTAGATTTCTTTAGACATTGAAGGACAGGATTATTATGTTTACTTACATAGAATGTCTCATTACTCAGGGGTCATACTAGACAGGATGTTGGAATAGTTAGGCATCATATTAGACAGTTGTCTGAATACTCAGGGGTGAAATTAGACAGTTTTTACTGAAATTAAACTACATGTTTTGTGTTTTACAGATGGAGGAATATTACTCGGGGCATCAAACCTGACTGGTCGGTACTGGTATGGGTCTATATGGTACTACCAGGACCCCTCGTGTGCCCCCGATGTGGAGAAGTGCAAGGCTGGCGTACAACTAGAGGCGGGGCTTAGTGATGCGCAGTGGCTCAGCAGTACCAAGGTCCTGGTGGGCCTTGATACAGGTAAGAGATTTCCTGGAATGCCAGGTGTAAATATTCATATACAACAGAGGGATTTCCTCATTCTAAATATACATATGATCCTCGTTGTTCAGCCAGTTCATGATAAAGCTGCTAGAAATGAAGATGACTTGATTCTTGAGGCTGGACTTTCTTTTACCTAACAGTGTTCTCTTTAAAAGCAGTTTCTGGCAAAATTAGCCTACTATTCATCAACTTTGAGCCGCCTATTTTTAAAATATGTATAAGGTCTTCATGATTATAGCATGTGAACCAGCTATTCTCTTCGAGACAGCTACCTATTTTAAAACTCATCGAGAACACTGTCTATGGAAGAGTACATTCTTGTATAAATACCTATTAATGTAGGGAAGTGAATTTAAAGTTGAAAAAAGGGGTAAAAATACTCGCCTGCTGGATGACGACTAAGACTAAGATGAAATGTGACATCCACTGATTGTTAATCACAGCGTCATATTACTGGACGAGGCATGAAATCTCCTATAAAATGGATTCTCATAGAATAATCAATTCATCTTCCCAGTGAATTGTCAGCTATTCATATTATCTACTTTAATAATGTGTATGTAATGATGACAGTTATGTTGTAAAAGTTAGAATTTTCACTGTGTGGAAAATTTTCACTAGGTTTCAGTTATTATTAAATCGGCTTAAATTGATATGGGTACGAATGTATATCAAGTGAATCAACACACTGGGATGTATGTGATGATGCAGCAATGTCGATGGCAACATTTCTACATTTCAAGTACTTTGAAAAAGTCGAAAAAAATGAAAATTTGCACACACAAAAGATATTTTGACAGTTTATCTACACATACAGATTTATGATTACAGGAGGACTTGCAGTATGGGAACTGATTGATGACTTTGACACCTTTATGCATCAATTATCAACGTTAGAACACGATGACGTTGTCAGCTCAATATCCATCACTAGTGACAACAAGAGGGCCATCTCAGGAAGCAACGACAGATGGTACGGTTGCTGTATAACAGTTTTGACCTGTCAAACTTTCGCTCTATATTTAATTATACAAGCTATATTAACCTTGTGCTGATTTTGTCCTTCATGTTAATGACTAAGGTATATGGCATACTGATATTTGCTGCGATGATATATTTGCCCTCATTATGGAGGCCGAAAAAGGCAAACAGTAAACTGCATTGAAATTACCTATGATAAAGTATAAACATAGAGTAAAATCGGTTTTAATGCAAACTCATTCAGTTAAAGGACCATTTTTGAGTTCTGCACATTTGCAAGAAAAAATTTCGTGGGTATATAATTGTGAGAGGACAGTTTTGCATGGATAATGGATTCCAGGGCCCCTAACTCTGGCAGTTCTCACGAGTTGTATATGTATATATCTATACTCTAGGGCTGCAACAATATATCATGCGACAATACGTCATGATATTTTGAATTCGGTACGATACACAATATTTTTTGGGAGGTCACGATACACCAACGATATTTTCCAGATTTTGTTGTTTCTGTATTTAGTCTACTCATATCGGTTACCACATTGTGTGTGACAGCTTCAGCTTGGCATGAAAGATGTAAATTGTGTCATGCCTATTTTGGACAAAGTCTACTTCCAGTTGTAATATTGCCATTAGAATTTTGTAGCATATATTGATATCTTGATACATCGTGTTACTGGCCCAGGTAACACAATGTATCAGGCCCAATATTTTGTATCAGGCACAATATCTTTTCCCTTTGCTTCTACTGTTGCTATATGTATTGTGATACATATTGTATCGTGGTGGTAATGTATCGTTACAGCCTTACTATTCCTGCATCAAAATTACATATATTTTTAGCTCACCTGGTCCAAAGGACCATGGTGAGCTTATGCCATACCGCAGCGTCCGTCCGTCAACTTTTCCTTTAAAACGCTACTAGTCCTGAACGGCCTAGTAGATTTTGACTAAATTTGGTCTGGAGCATCCTTATGCCAAGGGGACTCAATTTTGTAAAAATGGTGGGTCTCGTCCCTCAGGGACCTGAGGGGCGGGGCCCGATAGGGGAACTATAGCAAATTCTTTAAAATCCTTCTTCTTCTGTAGGATTGAAAGGATTTGTTCCATATTTGGTCTGAAGCATCCTTGGGTGAAGGTGAACCAATTTTGTATAAACCTTGGGTCTGGCCCCCCAGGAGCCTGAAGGGCGGGGCCCTATAGGGGAAACATAGCAAATTATTCTTTAAAAACCTTCTTCTTCTGTAGGAAGGAAAGGATTTGGTCCATATTTGGTGTGGAGCATCATTGGGTTAAGGTGAACCAATTTTGTATAAACCTTGGGTCTGGCCCCCCAGGAGCCTGAAGGGCGGGGCCCTATAGGGGAAACATAGCAAATTATTCTTTAAAAACCTTCTTCTTCTGTAGGAAGGAAAGGATTTGGTCCATATTTGGTGTGGAGCATCATTGGGTTAAGGTGAACCAATTTTGTATAAACCTTGGGTCTGGCCCCCCAGGAGCCTGAAGGGCGGGGCCCTATAGGGGAAACATAGCAAATTATTCTTTAAAAACCTTCTTCTTCTGTAGGANAAAAACATATATGCAGCTATCAGTTTTGTTTAACTTATGCTTCCTAATTTTCATTTCAGTGTGAAAGTTTGGGATTTGGAAACGCTAGCTTCTAGAAACACATACAGAGGTAAGCTTAAGGCCAAAGTTGTTAACCCATCTTCACTAGCCAAGTGTTCGCCTCGTATACACTCCACTTACCCTTGGCGAATATAGCATTGTTAACCGAGCCTTCAAATGTTCGTGCGGTGCCAATCGCTCTCATCTAATGAAATCGCATCTTACATATAGCGCTGTTGACGAAGGAAAACAGTAATGGCGATTCCCTTTACGGAAGCACGTTGTTGTTTATGTGTTTTACCCCAAAAAAATAGGTGCACAATCTTTGGGGAAACTTCTGGAGTTTAAAATTAGTTGGTGGAAATCCTTGACTTCGTGCCACATGTAAATGATGACCTGGGAAAATATTTGTGCTGCCTTTGGATTGTTTCCATATTTCTCTGTCATTTAAACTCCTCCTCGACATACACATGCTTTTGTCAACGCATCGATGGAGTGTGTATGTAAAGGTCATTCTGATTGGTTAAAAGTTTTTTTGGGAGAAGAGCGATAACTCAGTATGTCCGCTTGGTGGCAGTGGAGGGAATTATGAAAACAAGGCTATATCCGCCAAGGATAAGTGGAGTGTATACGAAGCGAACCATTGGCTAGCGAAGATGTTGTTAACCTTGATGTAACACTAAATCTGCAAAATTTTATCAACTGACTCTTTGGAATTTCACAATTGTCTTCCTAGAATATCATAGTTTTTCCATATGCTGAAATTGTGTTATTGAGATTAGAAAAAATCTACTTAAACAATCAATTTGTGAAATTCATGTTGATGATATGGCAATGTCTGTCTGTTGTCTGTTCTAGCTCACAGTGATACAGTGGAATGCATCAACTGTCACCCGACAGAGTCGGACATCTTCTTGTCCTGTTCACAGGTAGGTTGAGACCCGAGAAGGATTTAATCATTAACAGTTGGCTATATTTCTTACCTGTTCCTAGGTAAGTCGTGTTCAAGAAATTTAGCCCCATGGAGTCCAACATCTTTCTGTACTGTTTACAGGTAGGTCAAGTTTCGAGGATTTGATCACAAACAATTGGCTAAATTTCTGTCACATTCCAAAGATTTAGCCCCACAGAGTCCAACATCTTTCTGTCCTATTCACAGGTCGGTTGAGACTCAAGGATTTGATCACAAACATTTGGCTAAATTTCTTTCCTGTTCTTAGGTGAGTTATGTTCAAGGGATTTATTTAGCCCGACAGAGTAGTACTGTAAAAGATGTGGATAAATTAGGTTGCCTTACAAGCGTCTGCTGTAGGGAATTTCCCTTTAGCTCAGTGGTAGAGCGTCGGGGCTGGAGAGCCAAGGGTCGCAGGTTCGAGCCCCAGCGACGACACTATCTTTATCACTATTCCTCGTCCTACTACAGTACATCTTCCTGTCCTGTTCACAGATAGGTCGAGACTCCAGGATTTGATCACAACAATTGGCTACATTTCTTTCCTGTTCCTTGGTGAGTCATGTTCCAGGGATTCAACTTGACAAAATTGGCTATATCTTTGTTTTGGAAGTCATGCATCAGGGTTTAATCCCAGAGATTCTGTCATATTTCTCTTCGATTTACTGGTTTCTCAATACTCAAGGATTTAACCTGACAGATTTGGCTTTATAACTGTCCTGTTCACTGGTATTTTAAGAGTCAAAACACTAAACTCCACAGAGGCAGCTATAAATCATCACAGAGTCTGTCTTGTCTCAAGACTCCAGACATTCACCTCAGAGTCAGCCAACTTTCTCTTCTGCTCATTGTTACAAAAGATTTCCCTGGGATGGCTTTGTTGTGTTCAAGGGAGATCAATCTTGCTACAATTTGTAAGATCAGATAAAATGGAATGCTTCTTACCTTTTTCAGGATGGCCGAATATTTTTATGGGACACAAGAAAACCCAAACCAGTTAGTATTGTAGGTAAGTGAACATTTCGCTGTATTAAAATTGAAACCTTGTAAACCCTATGATTATATGTCCTGCTGTACAGACTCAATTGTAACAGAAGTTTTAGAAATGCTTATCAGAAATACTTTGGTTTCCCACACACACGGCCTATGTTCTACTATTGAGGTAGTTGTTAAAGTTGGTTACAACAAGTAACCCTTTGATGTTTTACCTATCGACAGACAGTGTATACACACTGTATCGAAAAGGTTATTGGCGGAAAGTAGACCAGATTCCCAGCCAATAACCTAGTCAGTACAATGTGTATACACTCTCTATTGATAGGTGAAACATCCTGTGTTATATGAAATTAACAATTACGAACTGGTTAATAATTCAAACTGCTCACTCAGTCATAGCTTGACAAAGGGACCAGTTGGTCTTGAAATGTTGCGACACCTTTGATACGTACATTGTTTGTGTATAAAGCAAACTTTTATACATGTATTACCATTTTCCAAACTGATGAATCTTATTGAAGATACAGTAGCATTGGTTTTGTTTACTTTGGTGGTTAAAAGGCCTTTCAACAACAAAAAGTCAGTTAAGACCCTTAAACTGTAAAATAGTAAGGTTATTTGTGGCCAAAACCATTAAACTGTAAAATAGTAAGGTAGTCTGTGGCAAAAACCAAAAAACTGTAAAATAGTAAGGTTATTTGTGGCCAAAACCATTACACTGTAAAATAGTAAGGTAGTCTGTGGCAAAAAACTGTAAAATAGTAAGGTCGTCTGTGGCAAAAAAATGTAAAATAGTAAGGTAGTCTGTGGCCAAAACCATTAAACTGTAAAATAGTAAGGTAGTCTGTGGCCAAAACCATTAAACTGTAAAAAAGTAAGGTTGTTTGTGGCCAAAAGCATTAAACTGTAAAATAGTAAGGTAGTCTGGCCAAAACCCTTACAATGTAAAATAGTAAGGTAGTCTGTGACCAAAACCCTTACACTGTAAGATAGTAAGGTAGTCTGTGGCCAAAACCATTCAACTGTAGAATAGTTAGGTAGTTTGTGGCCAAAATCATTAAACTGTAAAATAGTAAGTTTGTCTGGGGCCAAAAGCATTAGACTGTAAAATAGTAAGGTAGTCTGTTGCCAAAACCATTAAACTGTAAAATAGTAAGGTAGTCTGGGGGGGGAGGGGAGTAGTGTGGACTTACAAATGTAGTCTGTGGCCAAAACCATTAGGTGGTAGGGAAGTCAGAAGTAGTATAAGTGTTGTGAAATTGAATATGCTGCTACACTGTCTTGAAGAGAGCTTTTACACTCCCATGTTTTGTCTGTTTCAGATAAGTTACCCCTTCAACATTCCCCTAAAAGTGTTGTTTGGCAGCCGAACTCCCCACATTCATTTGCTGTCGGTGACGAAACCGGTCAAATCGTAGTCAAGGATACACGAACATCAATAGGAACACCAGTGACGTACACGGCACACTGTCGCTGTGTCAACAGACTAGAGTTCTCCAAAGACAAGTAAGGACATCACCAATGGGTTATACTGTAATTTGAAGCGATCATTAGGTTGAAGAGGGCTAGAAATTAATCTTTAAAATCACTAGTCAGTTAGGCAGGTTGTTCACAATATTATTCAATGTGACAGTTAATATCAAATTTTGACTATGGGGCTAGGAGAACCACTAGTTTTGGATCGATGCACACAGAAATGTTGACCAAATAACTTTTAACACATCATCCAGATGAAAGTAAAAAGAAAAGAAAAAAGGGTAACTTCCATTTTGCATTATTTTTAAGAGGCTCTGTATGCTGTAAGGTATTCTCCTGAAACCAGAAGATGTTCCATAACATGTATGTGGATTTATTTGATGTTAGTTCCTGTACATATTCGATACTCCAGGGGTTATGCTCACTTACATTCTCTGCACCCCTGGAATATGTCATGACAAATCGTGCCTTAATATCTGTGTTGCTGTCTTTTTATGGAGCTGTTGAATTGTATTGAGTGGCTAAATCTGTGGAACATGACTCATCTAGGAACAGGAAAGTAAATTGTAGCATGCTGTTGTATATCTGTCATACTTGTTTTATTACAGTCCCAGCCTGCTGGCCTCGGTATCGGACGATTGTGAGGTTGTGGTCACCGACATTAGTTCTCCAAAGTGTACAGAAATGTGAGTACTTGTGTAGAATTCTACCCTTCTTATATGCGAATGTACTGTAGTGAATTTACAAATAGCTGAGAAATTGAGAAGTTTGTATGTCCATATCATAAATATAGAAGGGGGGGGGGGGGGGGGGGGGGGGAGGGGAGTAGTGTGGACTTAGAGGGCAGTACCCTTTACAATTTGAATCTTTTTTAATTCAAACTATTACTATTGTAGACCTTACCACACATTCATTTTCTATTATAAGTGCCTCTTCTCCCCACCAATTTATGCATAAGTGAAATAGCCATTCAAAGAGCGGATTTTAATGGCTTGTTCTGTTTTAATGAAAAGGTTGGAAGACAATAAAGAAAAAGAAAAATACTTCATAAAAGAATTCCGATGTGAATTTTGTTCACAAATATAGTTTACTGGACCTGACATAAGCAGTTTATCCCTAACTATCATATTTAACAGAAATGAAGGGAGTGACATTGTTTTAACCCGCATTATTTACATTTTCTCCTCCCTACAGCTACAGAAATCGGTCACACCGCGACTTTGTGAAGGGGTTGTCTTGGAGAGGAAACAAAGTGTTCACATGTGGTTGGGACTCTCAAGTGTTAACTCATACCATAGACAGTGCTGCTGTGCCAACCTCTGACATGGTTGCCGTGGCCACCAAGGTCAAAGGTCAGACGAGTATAGGTGACATGGAGTGTAAGGTTGAGACTTCAAATAAAGACATGGTGAAATGCAATGGTAACAATAAGGGTAATGGTGATTCCATGTCTGTAGAAAGCACCTGACCACACAACTACCTCAGATCTAACAAAGTCCACCATCAGTTGTTCATGTCAAGGACACTCGAAGATCCTCACCAGTTGCTGGCTATTTACTGGACGATTTAGATCGTTACCAGGCATTTTGCTGGACGATTTAGGTTATAAACAAGTAGATCATTTAAAGGGTGATTACAAATTTGTATTGACTGCAAGGTTATTGTAGTAAACTTTGTTGACCGATTTTAGATAAAGAAACTAAAAGTGTAAAATATTCAGTACCAGAAAGTGAAGAAACTGCTCTATCACTATAGCTTTGATTTCTTTCTTTTTTTCATCAGTTTTCAGTATATTGATATCATCTTTTAATAGAGACAGAGTTATATTTTTATAAAAGTTGATGTTCAGATTTCAAATTTGTGAAAACAATTCTTTCAATTGAGACACATTTGATACAGAGTCTTTTCTCCACAAAAGCTTTTGAACTGCACAATCAAAATCAATATCTAATAAAAGGGCCAGCATTTGTATGTTTACATATATATGAGTGAAGTCGGCCCTAAGAAGGGAGGCAATTATAATTGATCATGATTATATACATTGAAATGCATTTGAATAGCAGACTCGAGAAAAATATTTTGGGTCACAAAAGAGGTATTGTTTTCCATTATGTGCAGTAGAATGTGAGTTAAGATCATTATGGTTATATGGTGTAAAATGCATTATATGTACAGTTAAACTTTGATCATTTTCTTATAACTTAGGAGTGCTAAAATAAGGACGTTAACTGTAATTGTCTGTTTAGGGTTAATCTGTGAGGGTAAGCACTCCCAATAGGGGCCTGTAGAAGATATTGTTAAGTTGTATAGAGCTGTGTCTACCCTTTGCTTAATGAATGTTTGACACTTACTTATAAAGATGAATTGTTATATCTGTATTTAACAAATTCACCCATAAAGTCACTTTTGAACCTTACTCAATCAAAGACTGGGTAAGTCCAGTTTTGATATGTAGGGTTGAATGAGTTTTAAAAATGTAAAAACGAACATTTTTTATCCGCTCAAATTCATTGGTGTGCGCTACAGCCAGTGTGATCAATGATCATTAACTCATTCATCCCTGAAGACACATTTGAACTCTTCCAATTCAAATGTTGGAATAATTAATTTTGAAATTTCAGCGAATGAGTTAATAAATGTCCTTTCGTTATGACCTGTACTTGAGATCTCTTCAGCCATGTCAGCTTGAAGGAGATCTTTCATCCATACCTGCCTATGTAATGTATTGTGGGCCATGTAGAACAGATTCCAGTAAATCTAGATTCAGTCAAAAACATTGCTTTCCAGACCTGAATTATCCATTGTTTTATTAATCTGGAAGGTTAAGCATTCCAGTATTTTTTCGTAGAAACGTCCAGATCAACAAGATTCCACAGCCAAGCACAATTTATACTGTTCGTAGGATATTAAAACAACACAGCGAGATTGAATATTTGTGTCTGACCTGGTTTTACAAAATGAGTTTCCTTTGTGATTATATAAATACACAGTTTCCCAAGTTGTGATAGTCATATAAGTTAATTTCAAAAGAGATTTACTGATTATCTTTTACAATTTGAAAATTAACTTATTTGAGTGAGATAACATTAATTTCAACCAACACAACTTGGGGAAATCTTTGTCAGCAATACTCTTAACAAGTGTACAATTCCAATTTTTGTTCGCGAACTTTTTGTCCAATTCAAAAGATATGGGAGAAAAACAATTTAAAACCCATGTAATAAAGACAACTCAGATCCTCATATACAATCCAGAACTCTTCAAATAAGTTGTTTTCTGGTCAGAATTTGTGCTTTGCATAACTACCCTATATATGATGTTTATTTTTTTGTTACTTAGATTTTTTCCTTTATTGCTTCTATTACTGAAATAGTTACTTTAAACCAGGAAATGTTCTTCCTTTGTTGGTCAAATCCATATTGATCCAGTTTTAATTTTGCCCTTCACATTTAATTACTATGTATATTTCCCCAGTATGTTGATATCAATGCTTGCTGTAATGAAAAATTCACCCTCAATTTCAGAAGCCGAAAAAGACGAAAATTAAACTGCATTGAACATTTCCCAATTTAAAGTACATATGATCTTAATGTCAATGAAGACTTTATACATGTTAATGGGTATGTCTTTCTGAAAGTAGTAAATATTTCCAGGGGAGAGTGTCCTCAATCAGCAAGGTATGCGAGGCCTAACATTAACTGATGATTTGTATGTGATGTTGTGTGTAGTGGCTGAATGGTGTGTGAGCGACTTTCGTCAGCGGGAGTGCATGCTGCAAATTACAGGCAAAAAACGGCAGTTTTCTTACAATAATTCAACAAATTAGCGATATTATATATAATGAATAAACATTGACTGCAATGTGTTCATATAATATGTGTCTTGTTTTTATTCGGTCACCTGAGCTTTGCTCAAGTGATCTATTCTGATCGCTTTCCGTCTGTCATGCGTAAACTTTTTACATTTCTCAAGAACCAGTGAATAGAATTTTTTCAAACTTGGTCAGAATCTTCCTTGGTAGATGAGGCTACAAAATTGTAAAATAGGGATTCCTGCCCCAACCCGAGGGCCAGGGCTTGATCCACAAAGGGAAAATTAACCAATATTTCAAAAATCTTCTTCTCCAGACACAGAGGTACTGCAGTCAATTTCTCTGCATATTTAAACTGTAAATTTCAGTACCCCCAGGCCATCTATTCTCCGTTGGGGAGGGGGTAAAGGTTACTTTAGTTTATATAGGGAAATAACACTTGGGGATATTTTGTCCATTTTCAGCGAGAAATTATCTTAACTTTCTATCTATGAACAGTAAAACATCTGAGTCTGATGAAGAAGATTTTATAACTATTGACTATTATCCCCATTTGGGCCCCACCCCTCCAGCCCCTGGGGACTGGACAAGATCTTATTTTGAGAGTGATTTCTTTACTGTTCATGGAAAGAAAGGTCCTTACCTAAATTGTAAATTTCATTATCCCCCAGATTATCGGCTTATCCCTAGAGGAGAGGGTATATTTCTCAATAGCAAAATAATTTATTTGAATAGTGTTTAGTGTCTTATACTTTTTTTGCATGTTGTTTTCCACATTTTGTACATCTCAACAATGAAATTGAGCTACCAGTACCTATAATATAACTCGGTTACTGCTAAGGCCCTTGGGTCTCTTGTTTAATTTAAAGAACCATTTATGTACCATGAGTCTTTGACTACCAGTACCTTGAATAACATTAAGATGTTTGACTGAAAAAAGAGAGAATTCAATATTGGAAGAGAGAAACAGCGCTATATCAGTGATAAGTATTTGTACATGCATCCGGAAAAATTGGGAAATCACTATTATAACAATAAATCCAAGTGGATCTACCTTGACTATATGAGGCTATATTTACTAAGATTTCACAATAAAGTCATAATTATTATTATGTAGACTGCATAACATACACATAACTCCAAATTTCACAACTTCGTACACAATACATAGTTAAACCTGTTGGAAACCAAACACCATAAGTGCTTATAATTATCTTTTGATTTTGTTGAGATTTGAAAGGTTTTCTGATGACACTGGTTCAATTTACATAAAAGAAGTTGGATGTAGATCGAAGTGTAAACAGATTTCAAGACAATTCCTAGCCTGATATTGATTTCAAGACTATTCCTAGCCTGATATTGATTCCAAGACTATTCCTAGCCTAATAGTGATTTTAAGTCTATTCCTAGCCTGATCCTGATGTCAAGACTATTCCTAGCCTGATAGTGATTTCAATACTATTCCTAGCCTGATTGTGATGTCAAGTCTATTCCTGATATTGATTTCATGCCTATTCCTAGCCTGATAGTGATTTCAATACTATTCCAAACTTGTCGTGATGTCAAACTATTGCTAGTCTGATTGTGATGTCAAGACTATTTCTAGCCTGATTGTGATGTCAAACTATTCCTAGCCTGATCGTGATGTCAAGACTATTTCTAGCCTGATCGTGATGTCAAGACTATTTCTAGCCTGATTGTGATTTCAAGACTATTCCTAGCCTGTCATGATGTTAATACTATTGCTAGCCTGATTGTGATGTCAAGACCATTTCTAGCCTGATTGTGATGTCAAGACTATTCCTAGCCTGTCGTGATGTCAATACTATTCCTAGCCTGATAGTGATTTCAAGACTATACCTAGCCTGATAGGGATTTCAAGACTATTCCTAACCTGATCGAGATTTCAAGACTATTCCTAGCCTCATTGAGACAGACTACATAGTAAATGTACATGTATATCTCAAAAATAACACAAGCCGATGGAGTTATATCATAAATATTTATTTTAACATCATTTCATTCTATACAATGTATTACATTATATAATAATTAACAATATATCATTCATAAACAATTGCTGCAGTGAAAGATTCATCTTTCATAATTTATCATCAGTTTTTGTACAAGTTTTTCAATGGAAAGTATAGGGAACTTCTGGAGATTCATTAAAAAATGCGGGCATAAGGGAAATTTCCAGTTTTAATGTGTTACAATAGTTACCTCCCCTCAACCATGATCCGTCATCAATCTTGCAATGAGATTTTCAATATTACAAAACATTAAATGACTTTTTCTTTTAAACTTTTAAAATGAGGATGTTTGACATTTACATATTCCAAAATTTGAAATTATCAGTATATTCAAGGAACGCATCAGCTATCAAGGAATCACAAAATAGTTACTGTCTTACACCTGGGTTGTGTATTTGTAGTGTTCATCATAAACTGGTCCCCAAACTAAAAACATTCCTACAATACATTCATACTAGGCTGTACGACTTGACAAGGGAATATGCTGGGACCAGAAACTGAATTCTACCTTACATACTCTGAGTATCACCAATTTAAAGGCTTGCAATGACATAAAATGAAGCCAGTCCCATCGCACAGACTGAAGGAATAACTTGTGTTTCTGTCTGTGGAATGTTGCCTCCTGTACCTTCCACACTCTTTCGTGGCACCTTAATTGAGACGAAGTTATTCTATGAAAATATATAACGCCAGCACTAATCTGAAGACCATCAAAAATCCTTTACTTCACAAGAGATATGGCCATTGTCTTCCTAACACCAGCTGTTAAGATGTACAGAATGGCATTTAACAGTCTTGGCGATGTCTTTCTAATAGTCCTAATGATGATGAAACTGTCTTCTCAGTATGGCGTAGCTCTGAAATAAATAAATAGGTAACTTAAAAATTGTACACCCATCAAAACCACCATATTTGCATTAAAATGGGAATATTTTGCCCCTAACGACAGTAAATTTAACAAAGGCAGTGATTATTTTTGCTCAGTTTTACCACCAAATACAGGCCATTTCCTCTAGCTAAAAAGTGCCTTATTTTCCCAAAATGACCACAAACTGAGGAATATATTCCAAATTTCAATACAAATAATGCTGTATTTCCCAATTAATAAAGGAACAGGCTGTTGTAAAATTTAGGTAACAAAAACACTGAAAGGACAAAAATACCACAGTTAACAGACCAGCTTAGTACATTTCAAATGCCAGAGGGCAAACATGTTGGATTTTTCAATTTCCTGATATGGAATAATCACAAAGCGGTATGGTTACATAAAGCCACATCATTACACAAGGTAAAAAGTGAATGCAGTTTTAAGCATTGTCACATTCCAGGTCCAAATATTACAAATAGTCGGACACCCTCTCAAGCTGAACTTGAGGTTCTCCATACCACTGCCAAAAGCTTTAGTTTGGTTTGTTTGTGCTTACATCCTTTTAACATCTTTGGTCATTTAAGGACTAGGTTTTGGTGGTAGAGGAAAACTGAAGTACCTGGGGGGAAAACACCCTACATCTGTCCCATGTAGGCCTCGGACCCGAAACCCAGTGGTGGAGGGCTAGTGATTGTAGACAGTCAAACACCTTTAATCACGTGGCCACGGCGACACCCTACTATGGATCTGTTTTTTCCCCCAAGCATGACAATAGTTTTGATTAATCGTTTCTGAAGAGGAAACCCATACCTTGCGGAAAAATCAAATGAGCAACTTACAAGGGGGGATTCCTTTATCAATTCCAATTGGTTATACCAAAAACAAAATTAAGGGGAGGTAATATATGTTTAAACAACTATGGAATTTTCTAGAGTTTGCTTGCATTAAAACAGGGATCCTCAAGTCTCAGCTGTTTGGTTATGAACATATGAGTAATCAGACTTCAGCTTCAACTCTGCTTCAGTAAGCCTAAAAGTGTTTGTGACATTTGGATGAGATTTTGTTATGACCCTATTAGTGTGAAGGCTTACCGTGCAAAGTTGATAATGGAGACAATGGCCATGATAAGTTCGAGTCCTGTGAATGCCAGCTGTATCGCAGCTAGGATGACGTCGACTTTGAGGACGTACGTCTGCCACAGTAAAAGGAACAACGCCCCAAGAATGGCCGGCACACTGAGCATGATGGAAACCACAACCCCCACGATTCTTTCTGTCAGGTTTCCTTTCTGAGCTACAAAAAAAATTCACCTTGTTTTTTATATATGATGGATTATATTCATCAATTTTTAAGTGTAAACCTTAGAATTTTTGTTTACATTCTACCAGCCTACGAAATGTTTGCAGATTTATAACTGACTGACTTAGACAGCTAGCATCTCTCTTTCATTTGGAATATTTATTTGAAAAAAAAAATAGTTTAAAAATCACTGAAAATTCACTTCCAAGTTACCTACTGAAAATAAAAAGCAAATTAACATTTTTTTAGGATGGCCCTATTTGTATAAAGGACATCTTTGCTCTTTTATTTTAGTTAAATTAGAAAATACATCATAAGATTATGAGTAAAGATGGATTTTGTTGAAGCCACTTTTAAAAGCATTACCCTTTCACATAGAAATGAATTAACATCTACAGTATCTACAGTATAGTTAGATAAATGTAATATCTAAGTGTCATTGTCATACAGATTTTTTTTTTTTTAATACCTTAAAGAAAACTAATTAATTGTTCAACTTAATTGAAATAAAACGAATTTAACATCAAACATTGATTACCTTACAGAAATTGAAAGACCAAATGATTTTAACCTCAGAAATCATACCAAAAAATATCCTCATTGCTTCAATTGCTGCTAGAACAAAGAGCAGAATCACCTCGGCAAGTAAAACATTATCTGCATACGGAAGAGTTTCACCTGGGAAGAACAAAAATTTACATTAAGACATTTATGTTTATTATCAGGTACTAATTTATTCAAGTCGGCACGTAATCCTCGCTTACACCTATGAGCTGTAAATCCCAGACTTACACCTATGAGCTGTAAATCCCAGACTTACACCTATGAGCTGTAAATCCCACAGAGGTTTTTATCGCTAATCGTATAAAATCTCATCCATGATGTACATATGCAGGCACAATACAATTAGAAACGTAGTATATATGTAATTATGTATTGTTATAGGCAGATACATAACATGGTTATTTTTAGTTTTTAAAAAACTTGAGATCAGGGTAATAAATTTGTCAATACAGTAAAGCCAAAAAATAATATGTATGTATGATTCAGGTAACATGACTAAACATTTAGGGAAGGTAGGTTGGGGTTGGGGTTTTTTCAGATTAATTTAAGAAATTGCAAAAATCTCCAACCATATTTTTAGGTATTTTAAATAATAATATGGGATTTAAATTTCGTTTTGTTGACATAAAGAGGGTACTTGTTTGTTTGTCCTTAAATTTGTTTGCATTCAGTGGACAAGTTGTCCCAATACAGGATTGAAGCGAGATCAAATCGGTTTAAGGTTGGAGGTATAAACAGGGTCGGTCGGGATACCTGAAACATACATTTTTTTATTTTTTCACAATAGAAAAGACGCTTGACAGATTCAACAATTCTACAATTTTACACAATATACCAAGCAGTATTACAGTAAATACAGGAAAGGGGTTCAAAATACATGTATAACAAAACCTGAAGAAACAAGTAATAACTTACCTTTGAAAATGAAAATTAATATCTCGCATACAAAGAAAAATCCGAAGTACCATCCATTTAAGTAGAGGAGAACCTGATACGGAAGTGATGATCTCTGGGGTCAAAGGTCAAGAAAAAATTCATAAAAGTGTTCATGCATTTATAAAGAAATCAATTTAGTTTTCATAAAATGATATACAGGTGCCTTTTGGTTTAATGAATACAGTCCTGCATTGCAAGACAAGACAGTATTCTGATTGGTTCAAGCCATACGTCTTACAATACAATTGTATCATTGTTTTACAGTCAACCTAGATAGTATGAAGATATATCGTAAATAACCTTTTCGGTTAAAACTGAATAAAAATATTGGTAATACTGGTACATACAGATCTATTCATTTTCTGAAGAGAAAAATCCTTTGAATTTTAAACGGTTTGCAAGTCCAAGCTAATTTCAGTACTTTCACTCAATACTCAACCAGTTCTGGATATAAAACTTTAGAGCAGTTATTTAAGGGAAGTTACTCTATATTAGGTGGGTTTCTTTGTTAATCCTATTACGAAATAAACAATGCCTAAAAACACAGAGATATTGTATTTCAAAATTTATCGGTAAAAATTACAAAGCAGCATTGTTGGTATCTGATAATCATCTCACAACAACTAACTAGCACCTGGACATCAACAATTTGCTCCTAAAAGTCAGAGGACCAATAGCATGATGCCATCTATTTGCCACTAAAAGTGAAATGTTGCATAATAGTTTCAAATTATCCTTCAAAATCAGAAGTCTAAAGTGTCAACTTATCCCTATAGGTCAGGGGTCTGCAATGTCAACTTGTTCATAGGTCTAAAATCCCAATTGTCAACTTGTTTATCAAGGTCTGAGGTCCCTGCTGTTAATTTGTTCATCAAGTTCTGAGGTCTCTTCTGTCAACTTGTTAATCAAGGTCTGAGGTCTCTTCTGTCAACTTATTCATCTAGGTCTGAGGTCCCTGCTGTCAACTTGTTCATAAAGGTATGAGGTCTCTTCTGTCAACTTGTTCATCAAGGTCTGAGGTCTCTTCTGTCAACTTGTTCATCAAGGTCTGAGGTCCCTGCTGTCAACTTGTTCATCAATGTCTGAGGTCCCTGCTGTCAACTTGTTCATCAAGGTCTGAGGTCTCTTCTGTCAACTTGTTCATCAAGGTCTGAGGTCCATGCTGTCAACTTGTTCATCAAGGTCTGAGGTCCCTGCTGTCAACTTGTTCATCAAGGTCTAAAATCCCCAGTGTCAACTTGTTAATCAAGATATAAGGTCCCTGCTGTCAACTTGTTAATCAAAGTCTGAGGTCCCTGCTGTCAACTTTTTCATCAAGGTCTGAGGTCCCTGGTTTCAACTTTTTCATCAAGGTCTGAGGTCCCTGCTGTCAACTTTTTCATCAAGGTCTGAGGTCCCTGTTGTCAACTTGTTCATTAAGGTCTGAGGTCGCTGTTGTCAACTTTTTTCATTAAGGTCTAAGGTCCCTGGTGTCAACTTGTTCATCAAGGTATGAGGTCCCTGTTGTCAACTTGTTCATCAAGATCTGAGGTCCCTGCTGTCAACTTTTTCATCAAGGTCCGAGGTCCCTGCTGTCAACTTTTTCACCAAGGTCTGAGGTCCTTAAAAAAAGGATTTTCAGTGTAAATGCACCACTGTTACTCAGCCCTTGTCATCCAGCAACCATGCACAAACTACCTCTGTATGAAACTTTTTCAAGTCTGTACATATGTCAGGGAAATTGAAGGTAAATACTGGACAATCTTTTTCTGTTTCATATTCATTTAACCTAACCTTAAGTTATGTTACCAGTTAAGAGTTTACATATATGTGTACATTTAACTGGTGTATCGTTGTAACTTAAACTCTTTTGTTGAAATGGGTGGAATGTTAATGAAATACAGTCAGGTCTTCCTAATGCATTTTATCAAAGTGCATTAAAAGATAATCTTTCTAATGCAGCTCCCTAACCAACTGAGCTACATGGTCATGATCGATATCAGTAGTCACATAGCACATTCCCAACACTTTGCTACACCAGAATACATTTCACTTTACTTAGCCTGCCATCTTGTAATGCATCTTATTAAATGATTCTTACTATATATAAATAACAGCGACTTGCTCATAAATATAACTCTCAAGTCCTGGTCTCGCATATCTTTTCGTGGGACTCCCAGAGCATCTCATAACCGACAGCTGATCAGATTTCGTTTGATCATGCCAAATATTTCAGCTCATGAGACTGATGTAGGCTAGATAAAAACAATAACCTGATTACAGATTTGGTTATTGTTTTCTCCAGGAATTCATATGAAAAGATCTGAAGTAGAAATTTTTGAAATGACAACCTCATGTCATATTTTGGATATTCAAATGCAGCAACAAGAGAACTTTTTTCTGTAACATGGCAACATTCAATTCAATATTGAATAGCAATGAGATATTACCTTTATATTACTACACCACTGAATTGTGATAAAGGTTGCAAATATATATATATATTATATATTCAAAACAGCAAAACTTCTGTTAAGAATGCTGAAAGTGTTGTTACGCTTTAATTTATGTACAGATGTTACAGAGTCATTAGCTAGTCATGACCAGATATGGGACTTTCAGGGGTTAAGGTTATGAAGTGCTGGAAATAATGAAATTCAACATGGTGAGTCTGCAGGTTTTTTTACAGCAGAAAAGGACAAAAAATCTTAATAGACTGATAACTGAAGATGTCCCTGGAAGGATCACCAAAAACATTAACGAATGGAACAGCTTATCAGAGGATGTAGAGAGCAGCAAATCAATAAATGAATTCAAGAGTAAACTGAACAGCTACTGGAAAGGTATGAATATCAAATTAAATCCTGATTGAGCTACTAACAAGTCAAAATACCATCTTATTCTACTGAAAACAATGTCCTAAAAGCGTGAAACTGTTTTAATATGTGCTATATATCTGTTTAATATGTGACAGTCAAAACAAGGATATTGTAATAGCACTGCGTGGAATATAGTTGAGTACATTGAGTAATGGAATATAGAAATTTTGTCATCTGGCACTGAATAAAGTACCGATCCGGATAAGGGGGTCAAGAAGCAGATATGCTTAAGAAAGACCGACGACAGGTAAAACAGGTAAAGGTAAAAAGTGTCTACTGAACTTATATTAATATAAAGTATCAATTCTATATTTTGGTCCACAATCCCTTACTAAACTGTCATGTGTCTCTTTAATATAGTGGCCGATTGATGTTGATGAAAAGCCTTTTAAACTGTAAAGGATACAATCACTTGAACTCGTCCTGGGAAAAAAGAGAAAGAAAAACGAAATATTAATCATAAAGCCAACTGTTCATTGATCACAACAGCTATCATTTGGTGGTAAACTTGTCAGAGCTTGAACACTTCATTTACTTTCGACTTCGTTTCGAGTTCATTACTCATTTGAATGCGAAATAAATATACCAACTGTTTTACCACAACACCATCAATCTATGTTCAAGAATGACATTCATAAAATTTATTTTGATACTCTAGTATCGACATAAACAGTAAAAGCTTTACCTTTGTTGCCTGCTGGTTGTTGTGTGTTCGCCATTTTTATACAAACATGCGTTGCTGCGGGACTATGAGATAAAACAAATAAGTTGTGCATAAATGTTAAATTAATATAAAATGGTAATTTAAATTCAATGAACGTAACATGAATATAGTTTAATATTTTAAACTTGTTGTATTTTATAAATTTGTAACGCACCAAAAATATCAGCTCTTGGTTGATGATACGCTTTGTGGATGCTTTCCTCCTTCTCAAACATGCTATTGACTACGATTCGCCACATCACCAACATTTTTGACCAATTCAATGAAATTCAATTATTTAGAGTAAATTCGACATTCAAACTTTGCCATTAAATATAGAATGGTCATATTTTAAATTCTGGGTATTTCCACTGTCCGAAACAACCGAAAAATAGTGTCATATCAATATATATTGACCAATACATAAGATCACGTGACACATCCACACTTCCTTTTTCCATCGTCGACGCACGAGTTGACAACATGACTGCACCATCACCGGCTGTTCAGAAGGGAATAGTGAAACAGGTAAAGTAAAATGTTCTGAAAATAATAACAAAATGTGAACAAAGTTTTAAAGATTGTTATTTGAAATCAGTTATGTTGAAAATATTGGCAGCATTCTACATGGAATATTTTTTGGGCTCCAGATGTTGGGATCCCGAGCACAGTATGTTTATAAGATTATTGTTGAGATTACTTTTGACCAGCATTTTACAGTTTTTGTTAACCCATTTATTGACAGTATGGTGTGAAGTATGTTCTCTAAAACATACGCCCCAATTTTTCACTTGATAAAACTTTGTCTTTATGGTAGATTACCGAAATCCATTAATTATGAATCATTAATTAACTTCGTCACAACTTTTTGATGTTTGGAAATTTCTAAAATGGTTTTCCAGTGAGTTATGGCTGTTGATTTCATATATATATAATAAGTTATCTAAGTTCATTAATTTTAAAACTCAAAATACAAAGGTTTTAAACTGTGGCCTTTTGATACTCTGATGCACAGGACCAACATCTTTGGATCAGAGTTATTACTAGAGAACTATCCAGTTTTAATATATTGAAGACTGGTATGATAAGTAGCTTTATATTTGTTAATATTTTTAGTATCTAAATGAGTATCTTTATCTTGGAGTTTTAAATCATTTATCATCAAGTTCTATTATTGAATCCAGTTTTACCCGTTTAAAAAATCCAAGGGACAATTCATGTTTAAATGAATCTTGATTTTTTTTTAGACTGCCACCATTTGTCCAGACAAATGCCAGTCTTATAAATGTTTTGGAGATATGGATCTGAAATCTGTGGGTGGTAATTAATAAGCAATTGCAATGTTAAACTTATATACAGTAATGCTAATAATCCTGTGAAAACTCTACCAGTTTGGATATCAATGGATTTAAATGTTTATTTAAGTCACTTTTTATATCAAAATTTTATTGTACAACTAAAATCTCTAGCTACCGTAATATGTTAATGCTGGAAGAGAGTAATGGCCAAAGAGGCCAAATGGGTACAGGTGTGTGATACATAATGTTTATGTTATATAGATCCTCTCGGGGGATGCTGTTGTTATACGAGGGCAACCCCGTGGGGGGCCCCCACCAGAGAAGACCATCTGCTTCTCCAACATTACAGCTCCAAGGATGGCTCGACGTCCAAACCCTAACATGGAGGGTGCAACAGAAACTAAAGATGAGGTATTTTTACTTTAGATTTACTTCATCCAGTTATAAACTTTCATTTTGTCATTTTTTTTGTTTTTTAAACAAAACCAAAAGAAAATTTCAAAACTTTGACTGCTTATTTCAATACCAAGACAATTTAAAGTGTAGCTAAAGTTTTTGATTTTAAGAGTTCTTAAATTGAAGTGTCTCATTTCTTCTTGTTTTCAGCCATTTGCATGGGAAGCAAGAGAATACCTGAGGAAGAAGTTGATTAACAAAGAAGTTGTCTTCACTGTAGAGTACAAAGTTCCTGGGACTGGACGGGAATATGGATGTGTTTATCTTGGAAAAGGTTAACAAAATTGAAAAATACACTAGTTTATAATATCTTTCAAAAATGTTGCGCTGTAGCTATAGGGATATATACAAGTCCACTATCACAATGCCCAGGGCTAGTAGATCCTTTGTTGGGTTTGTAGAATAAGTAAAGTAAACGTGATTGAAATTGAATATCCATGGGTTGTACGTACGTACAATGCAATGATATCTATATCCTGCAATTAGATTTACAGTTAAACTTGGAATCAGCGATTCAGTATTTTTGTTAATAGGGATATTTCATGTTTAATATAATGGCATCAATAATGAATTGAGTGTAAACTAACTTCTACATCTTTAACTCTTGGTCGAAAGGTGGCAATTTACCAATATACTGTAAACAAATCATTATGAACGTCAGCTTTGTTGTCAGAAACAAATATAAAATCTTCAAATGGCCCAAATATAATGGAAACCCCTAAAGGTTAGGGTCAGCAAAATGTTTTGCCTGATGGATGAATATAGCCTTTAGGCAATTGGTGTCTTTTTTGTTGGTAAACAATTTATGATCAGGCCTCTAAGGTAATGATTCAGTTTATACCTGTTCAGGGCATTTATATTACCTGCCTAAAGGTAGTAGGTGACATCTTCCTGACGATAATGCATTGATGTGTCAGTGTAACAGGAAAGTGCCATATTGTAATCAGATATAATCATATTTCCCCATACTCTATAGATGTTTGATGATATTTCAGATGTCTGTACCCATAATGTTTTTACAATAAAAAGGAAAAGACCCATAAAAATGAAAGAGACGTTGAATTACATATATTTTTTTTTAAAGATTTCACCTAAAAAGTACCTGCTTATTTAACATAAGTGCACACAATATGGGAATATTTATGATATATATACAATATAAATATAAACTAAGAATAGTTACCTAATCTTACCAGATACAAAGATAAACTCCCGTTTGACCATACAAATTTATGATTACGATTTTATAACATAATCATATACCAAAAGATATGGGACCTTTCATGTGTAAAAGTGGTACCATTAACAAGATTAAAATCATGTTTTATTCTAAAGGTGATGTTTAAGTAACCTTCAATTAAAGTTCAGATAATACAGAATAGTGCCAATCTAATTCCATGACAATACTGATAAGGCTCCATTGTTAGACCATTACATTCACATTTGTGTTTGAAGCTTTGCCTATTTACGAGTGTCCAATCAGTGTGAATCACTCTTTTGTTGTTAGCGAACAAAATCCAAAATGTAGTTGTTTGTGAAGAAAAATATGAATATATATTTGTTTATTCATCTCTCATCAATTAAGCAGACTTTCACGATACCAATTAAAGACAAATAACCATATGGCATTCAGTTTTGCTTTCAGTGTTTTCAAGAATCCTAAAAGTAATGCATGCATTAACATCTTTTTGATGATAATTTATGTTTGTATCGTTAGGAACTTTCGTAATGGCCTTATGAAGCTATCCTCACTGCTCTGATCTTGGAAACTGTCAAATACCGCTAAATTAAGAAGCTTTCAATGTTTGTGTAGCGTAATATTGAGACACATGGCTAACTGTGTCACTCAGCTATGCGAGAGTCAGTAATTCAAAGCTGTTCATATGTGCAGCATTTCTGCCACATCATAGTCGCAGTGATTTTTCTACCTCCTTTCCACAGGGGCCTGGGCCTTGCATTGATTTTGAGGAAATATAGCAGAAATTATCTAGGGGAAAGAGCCTTTATAAGGCCCCAAATTCACCGCTAAAAAATCAGATAGACCTTGAAAATAGGGGCCAAATGTATTTTTTGCAGGAATCCTGCTAGGATGCATCTAAAAATAATCACTGAAAATTGGGAAACATGTACATTGTAGCCATATATAAAAGAAAAAAGGTATTGAGTTGAGCATACAATCTCATGTAGGATTAAATTGTTTTCAGACATGAATGGTGAGAACATGACAGAACAGCTGGTTTCCGAGGGATTGGTGGAAGTACGGAGAGGCGGAGTCAGGGCTGATGAGTATGTATATACGATATTAATGAATTATGTTTAAAGTTTAAAGTCTGGATTATTATCATGAATCTTTGCTTCAGACTGTAACCACTATGGCAGTGGGACCATTGAAGTATTTATGACGCAAAACGATGTTGATCATTCCGTAAGATACATTCATAGAAAGTACTTTTCAATCGTAAACATAGGCGTACCCTGTGTCAAAGAAAATGGTTAGCTAAAAATGGTCTATTCGCGGAATTCAGGTCTAGGGCTATGGGACAATGAGCTGTATTTTTATTGGTTTATAATGTTAAGAACTTCATTGTGCAATTTTTAATCAAATCGATTGTCATATAATGGTTTTTTTTACAACAAACGGCCAAAGGAAACACTCAGCAACATGGCGCACATGATGGACCTCATCAACACGGGGTACAAACTTCGAAACTTTAATTGACAAACGAAGAAAGTTTGAATTTGATAGATCAAAATGCAAATTACAGTGTGTTAATGAAAAAAGGTATTGTTATTAAAAAGTATATTTATACTTTCAAAATTAAATTCCTTAGCTTGTGTTTTGTCACATAAAAATCACAATCTGCTTTATAAGCACGATTTCAATATTAGATGTTCAATTATCGTTACTCGAAGTCTCGATAATTTAAACTTTTACCAATGGTCCCACAAAGTTCGAAACATCAAAGTTTGACTGTAAATGTATGTATTTCAGTGCCAGCCAGAGCGCTTTGATCCAGCTGGAAGATGGAGCCAAATCAGCAGGCAAAGGCAAATGGGCAACCGAAGGCATCAAACCAGACAGTATCAGAGATGTAACGTGGGTCATAGAGAATCCTCGTAATTTTGTTGACTCACACCATAATGAACCCATAGATGGTGAGTACAAGGGAAATGACTTGGATCCTATGGAACCTCGATTACACTGGCTCTCTCCTTGATGATTTATCCTTACTTTCCTGTCTGTTTTCAAGGGCACTCTTGCCTTATCCATTGGAAAATAATGAATTATCGTTAATATATATATTAAAATTAAAATATACCTGAACAGAGTTTTTTCTGGTGACATTTTGGGGCAGATAATGGGCCACATTCCCAATTTAAACTATTTCATATCTATCCTGAATTCCCCAAATTTGCAGTTTACTCCTGAACATTTTCTTTCCAACTGGTATATAAAAGGCCCCATCCGAAATTAACAGGAAAAATCCTAACAGAGAAAGAAAACCAGGATTAACGAGTTTCGCAGTATTTCGATTTATTACTTTTAAAACACTAACAGTTTTTGATAACTACCATTATATAAACAAATTGAACGTCTGAGGTTAATTATATTTACAGCTGTGATTGAACATGTGCGAGATGGCTGTACGGTGCGAGCGTTCCTCCTCCCCTCATTTGATTATGTAACAGTCATGTTGTCTGGAATCAAAGTAAGTACAGTTCGTTTAGTGCCATTTATCTGAAATTTCGATAAAACTGCAATTAACTCAACAATTGTACCTGTGCTTCTATTTCATGAGAGTGTTACAGTTTGTCATTCTGACATTTTTGCTTTCTTTTAAAATCATTGTCAGCAGCAGATTTCGTAGATCAAAATGCTTCATTTTCTGAATATGAACCGGTCACGTGACTACCTAACAATACCTGTTGCTTGTTGCTAATAGAATCAAACCTTAAACACACATACCAAGTGGTTTAAGCATTGGAATTTAAAGGTGATTTTGATCTTAAATGTAGTGGGATGATGTCTTCAATAAGTGTATTCATTTTGGCATCGATGATTGGATATCTCAAGGTTAATTGATTTTTTTATTGAATTAAAATGTTTCCTTAGATGAGATAACAATATTGTCCGAGCTGAAATTTTGGTTGGGAAAATTCAAGCTATAATTTTGTATAAAATCATAGAATTTTGTATAAGAATACTAATCGGTGGCCAAGTGTTAAGACTTGTGATACTTCAATATAAAGTGTTACTCTGTTGTTTCAGTGTCCTATGTTTAAACAAGACGAGGAGGGTAAACAGATGGCAGAGCCTTTTGCCACTGAGGCTAAATATTTCACCGAAGTGAGGCTGTTACAACGTGACGTCAAGATTATCCTGGAGGGCGTTTCAAATCAGAATTTACTCGGCACAGTCATTCACCCGGTAATTAATAATTATGCTTAACTCATCAACCACTCGAGTAATCTTTCCTATCATAACTGTAGAATCAGTCCAGTATGCAGATGTACGCAACCACTGATAAAACATAAAGGAAATGTTATTGAGAGAAAATAACGCCACGGTTGGGTAAAAGAGCACAAATGGTTATTTGAATATTTTTAAAACTTAAAAGAGAACAAAGGTCAAATATTTTTAAAACTTAAAAGAGATCAAAGGTCAATGTGATTATTTTTGAAGGTTTAAAGAGCATGATTGTTTCTAATTTTATGTATTTCATTTCCAATGCAATATATATACATATATATATAATGGTGTATATAAAATTACTGACGGTGCTATTCTTGTTCCACTAGAACGGAAACATTGCCGAGCTGCTGTTGAAAGAAGGGTTTGCTCGCTGTGTGGACTGGAGCATGGGTGTCGTGACACAGGGAGCTGAAAAACTCCGGGCAGCAGAAAAGTAGGTCATAACGGACGTCTGTTTATAGCGACCAAGTGTTGGTGAAATTAATACAATTGATCTGATAAAACATGCTCAGATTTATGTGCTCGGCTGCTAGCTTATAGTATGTTTTCAGTGTGAGATAGATAGGTCATCAGTTTTCACACAATAAGTGATGTTTCATTGTTGTTTGGGTTTGACAGTCAGAATTCAAGACTTTAAAGCGAAGACATTTTTAACTTACTTCATATAATAGGTCAGAGATCTTATAAAAGCCGGTGAGCAATACATGCCCTTTGAGCCTTTTATATAAAATAATTGTTGTGTCTGTAAGAGGACAGTGCTGATAAGTAGTGTTTAAACCTAACCTCAATAATGTTAACTTACAATATGTTCTGCAAGCGGGGGATATAAATTCCACGAATTCGCTTGTTTTTTCTAACTGTAGCTTGTGCTTTGCTTAATTGCAGATCTGCCAAGGAGAAGAAATCACGTATTTGGAAAGACTACAAAGTACAGGAACAAAGTGTTGACCTCAAAGACCAGAGTTTCTCGGGCAAGGTACAAACAAAACTTTCAAAGAAAAATCCTGATAGCTGAATGTCTACAGAAAAAATTACCTACCTCTTCTTCCGCTTAATACCTTCTTCCATCTATGTGAAATGTAAAAACGAATTGGGCGCATTAGACAGGATATAAGAAAAAATAAATTGTAAGCAGTATTTACAAGGAATGAAGTGATAGATTTAGGTAGGATGATACAGGCTGTTGGAATATTCAGGGATCTCATTAGACAGGTGTTACTGTATATGTATTCCCATTTCAGGTTGTTGAAGTTGTGAATGGAGACGCTTTAAATGTAAAAGCAGGCGACACAATCAAAAAGGTTTTCTTAGCCAGCATACGGCCACCAAGGTAAGTTGTGTGTGATAGTAATTTAAGGAGGATATGATTTGTAAGAGTTAAATAAGAATACTATCTTTCAAGCATTCGGATATAATTGATTGATTGATTAGTACTGAAGGACCACAAATTTTCCTTACAGACAACAACTTGAGCAGAATGAGAATGCACCACCAGCCACCAAAGAAGCTAACAAGAGGCCACGCCCCCTGTATGATATACCCTATATGTTTGAGGCCAGAGAATTCCTCAGGAAAAAACTGATTGGAAAGAAAGTAAGCTCCAAATAATGAATTTTAAAAGATTTCAAAGTTTTGTTTTGTTTTGGTGTTCTGATAATCAACTATATCGACTGTTGGTTAGTTAGACTTATAAACTGATTAATCAACTACAAAATTCATGATCAGTATTAGTCAGAATAATTCTGTCTAGATATCATTGTTTTCAGTAGAGTGATTCATCATTTGAAGCTCATCTCATCTCTTGATAGCTAGCTATATATATATAGATAGCTACTAACAATAGTTGAGAAGTAGACATCTCGGAGATTGCAAAGATTTATTTCTAGCTTCTGTGTTGGAGCTTATTGTCCCTTAGTTATAAATTTTAGCCGACAGGAACTTGTATAAATTTGAAATGACTTTGTGAATAATTCCATTCACGAAGCTACTTCATCAATCTTACTTCCTGAATTTGAACTGAGTGAAGGTGTGATTAATCTGTCTGATTATTTCTTGATATCTTTGACTTTTACTGAATGATAATGAATAAATCTTGAGTTCTTACTGTACAATGCATGAAATGTAATTACTGATGTGTAATTAATTAATTGATTAATTAATATTTGAGATCTCGCTTGTAAAACCCACTATAACAGTGTCTTTTTGTTTACTACAGGTGAGCGTACAAGTAGACTACATACAACCTCCAAATCAGGGCTTCCCAGAGAAAATTTGTGCAACTGTCACAACAGGAGGAGTGTAAGTAACCCAGGGGGTTATAGGGTTGGTATCACAAAGCCTTCAGGAACAATAATTTTGTTGGCCTAGGGTTGGTACCTTGAAGCCTTGAAGAGTGTCAGTTTTGGTTTGGTTACCTGGAGATAGTACCTCATAGCCTTGAGAAGTGATGACTTCTTGGGTCTTTAGGGTTGGTGCCTCATAGCCTTGAGGAATGTTAGTTAAGTTTGAGGGCCTGAGGTTGGTGCCTTGTAACCTTGAGGAGTGAAAGCACTGTGGGCCTAGCCTTGTGCATCATTGCCTCGCAGACTGATGGCTTGTAAGGCCATTATGTTTACAGCCTCATAGCCTCTTTGGATTGACAGATTTGTGGATCTAGAATTGGTGCCAGGTTGGCCTAGGGTTTAAGGCCGGGGGGAGGAAAAAGGGGGAAAAAACGTGCTGATAATTTGAAGATATATGGATGAATAAAATATCTGTATTACAGTATTATTATTATAAAAGTTTGTATGTTCATGTTTTTGTGATAAATGAACAGTGAACAGTTGTACATGTAGGTCGATTTATGTTACAGAAATGTCGGAGAAGCGTTAGTAGGTAAAGGCTTGGCAACAGTGATAAGATATCGCCAGGACGACGACCAGCGCTCCTCCCACTATGACGAGTTACTGGCAGCCGAAGCCAGGGCCATTAAAAAAGGCATGGGACTGCACTCCAAAAAGGAGCCACCAATTCACAGAGTTGCTGATGTATCAGGGGTAGGTTTTGTGAACTTAAATCTGACAAACGAATTACTCAATATAAAACAGAATAGAAAAGAAAGAAAAATCTGAAAATAAAAACACAACAAAATTTTGAAAAGAACACTCATAATTGTCTCAATGCTGACATTGATCAGTTAAAAGCAAAAATTGTTAAATTTGCAGAAGTTTGTTTACATTTCTTCAAAGAAAAATTCTGAAATTAACATACAGTAAGGTGAACTTCCCGAAAAACAACAGATAATTTCACATATTTTATAAAACAGCAAATTAAGGTCATCCTTTCCAATCCCATGTAATCACCAAACAAGATTTATCATTAAAACAGTCGTGAATTGTGAAGGAGATCAGTTTGATACCACAGTGTTATATTTTACGTTTCTTTCTAAATCCTTTTCAGTATTTGGACTGTGAAGCCTTAATATTGTGCATTTAGTTAAAAGTCGGAACAATAATATTTTGTTGCAGGACATCACAAAAGCCAAACAGTTTCTGCCCTTCCTTCAGAGGGCTGGCAGGTCTGAAGCCGTTGTAGAGTTTGTAGCCAGCGGTTCCCGACTTCGTCTCTTTATTCCACGAGAAACGTGTCTCATTACATTCCTCGTGTCAGGTAAGCGACGTTAGCATTATTATAAGCAGAGATTTAACAAGCCTAAAAAACACTCTGATTTTGATACTTATAGATAAGTTTTTAACCGATGACTTACAAGATAAATAATTTCATGTACAAGTTTATCTAATGAAATTGAGGATCAGGAGGGGGAGGAGTCATCTTTTATTAAATCTTCTTGATATGAAAAAATATAATTATAAACTCAAATATTTGTGAGTATATTATATATATATATATATATATATCTCTCTATTAAATATTTTATTGATATTATTGTTCGTTTAATAAATAGCATTCATATCAAGCAAGCAGAAGAAAGTGTTCTGTTTGCAGGTAACTGTAAATATAAGAAAATTAATTTCTTAAACAAATACTCTGTATACAGTATGTAAAAATTGTTTACGTTTAGGTATTTTACCTTTGCAGTAGGCAGGTTTAATCAGTGTGTTCTACAGAGGTTAACCTTGTTATATGCAAGATGTAGCAAAGCACGGTTTGTTAGAGGCTCTTCTTCAATTTCCAGGTATCTCATGCCCAAGGGGTACACGCAACATGCCTGGTGGAGTGGTAACCCCGGCTGAGCCCTTCGGTGACGAGGCAATGCTTTTCACCAAGGAGATGTGTCTACAGCGCGAGGTCGAAGTTCAGGTGGAGGCCATGGACAAGGGAGGTAACTTCATTGGCTGGCTGTTTGTGGAGAACGTGAACCTGTCTGTTGGACTGGTGGAAGAAGGACTGTCCAAAGTCCACTTTACTGCTGAGCGCAGCAACTACTACAAGGCACTGTGTGTCGCTCAGGACCAAGCCAAGTCCAAGAAACTTAATGTAAGTTGCTGTTATCATGTTGGGAAGTGCACATTTAAAGGAAGGTTAGCATACAAACATAGGACAGCTTAGTTCTGTCCAACTCAGATCTCTGGCTTTTGTGTTCCCTGTACCACAGCATTTTGTTTTTTCCTAAATACAGTAGCCTCCCCTTAATTTCCGCCTGGATAAAATTGTAGTACAGTTTGAACCATACTTTTCCGTTGACCAGGTAGCTCAATTGGTTAAAAAGAGCGATAGTAAACAATCTGAAGTCCAAGGTTCAAATCCCAGTCTCAATTTTTACACTTAGTGGTATGAGGATCCTTAAGACAAGGTAGAGAATTTCCAATAAATTTTGGCAATGTGAAAGAAATTTTACATAAATTGTTTTAAAAATGGTTCTGTGTAAAAAAGGAAGAAAATGTAAAATATCAACTGTGCTGCTATTATCTGTTTAATGCCTGGGTTGAAATATACCTAAACGTCGAGGTTTCAAATGTTGAGTATTTGCTAAGTGTAAAGCTGTGTATTTCATCCATAGCAATGGGCAACATATGAGGAGCCCATTGAGAAGGAAGAGGTGATCGAGGACACATCGGACAGGAATGTTACCTACAAAAAGGTGGTCGTTACAGAAGTCTCTCCTGATGAACTCAAATTCTACGCTCAATGTGTGGACAACGGTACAATTTTTGTCTAGTATTCCGAACACATGATTAACTTCAATCTATTGACTATAAATTTTACCAGCGATTCTTTTATATTATTTAACAACTTTTCATTTTTCAGTTCATGTAAAAATCAAAGGTGGCCATCTTGTCCTAAGATTAGCTTAATAGATCATTTCGTGAGTGCTAGTGTTAATGAAGATGTGCCAATTTTCACTCTACTTAAGGTTAGGGTTAAGTATTGATACATAGCTTCTCACAAGTTGAAATGTTTAATTTCAATCAAGTTGGCTTTAAAAAGTTTGTTAAAATGTTAAGACTTTGATTCAACAGATATCTGTTTAAAATGTGTTGTAACATGATTTGGTCCTCGAAATCAGAAATGATTTATGAATTGTTAACTAACAGGCCCTCAGTTAGAGAAGCTGATGGAACAGCTACGACAAGACATGGAGTCCAACCCTCCCCTGACAGGCTCCTACACACCAAAGAAGGGCGAAGTGTGTGCTGCACAGTTCTCTGTAGACGAATCATGGTAAATGTGCTGCTCCTTCGATTTCACTGTAACATTATATCAATATTGTCACCAACTAGTTAGAACTGTTGATGAAAGGGACAGACCAACAGGGGTATATACAAATCTACTTTACCTGATGCATGGGCCTGATAAATGTTTTGTCAGAGCTAGCAAAAAAGTTCATTATTTACAACAAAAATGCAGTAGAATTTTCAAAACCTGTGTGTGGACTAGTAGTCAAAAAATATAAAATTCCACGTCGCTGACCTAGTGATCTGATGTTTCATGGCAAGCCCCTTGGAAAAGATTATCAAGACATGCGTAAAACTTTTAAGAGGTCTGTCGGATTGTCCCTCTAAAAATATAGCATTTTAAAGTAGACACTGCAGTTATTCCAGATCAACGAAAAGATGTGAAGTTGTATCTTGATTTTGATATAGTACAATAAATCACACTTAAAATAAGAACTTTTCTTTTCATGTTACCAGAACAATCAACAAAAAAGACATTCAAAAGATTAAAAGTATAATTACCGTAAGCTGACAAATCTTTATATAACAGTATACAGGGCTCAGGTATTTTAAGTCTGATTAGCTTGATGGAAACATTAATGTAAAATTGGAATAGAGTAAAATTTCAAAATGACTAAAATTAAAAACCAATATTGTTTGTAAAGGAGTTCAAAAATAAAATATGGGAGACAGGAACACAAAAATATTTGGAAACTTTTCAGATCTTTTTAAAAAAAAAATGCAAATTGAAAACTTGTAGAGCAAACCAGTCTTTGAACAAAAGGGCTCAGATAGCTTTTGTCTTCTTAGATAATCATTACTTCGTAGAAAACAAGCATGATGCTGGGTGCTAATTATTAATCTTCCTGTTTCAGGTACCGAGCTAAGGTGGAGAAAGTGGAGAGATCTCATGTGAAAGTACTGTTTATTGACTACGGAAATGTAAGCATATAAATATTTCTCTTGTCAATGTATTTTATCAATCTTGTGCCATATGAACATCAGTTCTTCATACAAATACAAAATAGCACCAAACAAACATGTTAATTAAGATAGTTCAAGAAGTAGCTGAAAACACATTAAAAACTTCAACCAGTCTCATTGTGATTAAGACAATGTACCTGTATATTCTGTTTGGTTTTGAAGGAATAAGTCGATGTAGTAATTAAAATTGAATGTATATTAATTTCAGAGAGAAAAGACAGATGTCTCAAGGTTAGCCAAGTTGCCTGCCACATACCAGACTCTGGCTCCCCAAGCTCAGGAGTACGCCATGGCATGTGTAACACTGCCTCCGGATGTAAGTAATCAGTTTTTGATAACCTCTATCTGGCCTTTGTTTCTACTTCTGACTCTCTTTTATGATTTTCTTTATGTGGGGCCGAGTGGTTTTGGCACCTGATCTTCTATAATCCCCAGCCCTCTACATCTGGGACTTTGATTTGATGCCTACATCAGGCAGTCGCCAGATACTGGCTGTGTGCCCTGCTTTATAGCTCCCCCTTGGCCCAAATTTTCCTCTTCTTTTGTCGCTCTTCTTAGATTTCCCTTTTTTTTTTAACCCTTTCTGGATTTCTGTTCTTTTTCATTGGTCCCATATCTGTACCTTATCGTATGCATTGGACCAAATGTCTAAACCCTTATTACATAGCCATCTTATCAAAACCCATATCAATCAAATCAAGGTGCTTTGTCATTTGTTTACAGGAGGACTCAAAAGCAGATGCCCTTGATGCATTCTACAATGACATCATAAACAAGGAACTTATGATGAACACTGAGTACAAGGCACCTGGTCTGGAATTTGTGACGCTCGTCCTCCCTGACACCAAGGATGACGTTTCACAGGGTCTCATATCTGCAGGCTGGATCCTTGCTGAAAGGAGACGTGAGAAAAGACTTGCCAAGATTGTGTCAGATTACCAGAAAGCACAGGAGAAGGCCAAAATTGCCAGGGTAAGTGTTCACCCCATAAGTATATAACCGTAAATCGGTTTATACTGTGCCTTAACGTTGCAAATAAATTTCATACGACTTATTAATTTGCGAATATTTAGATGCAAGAATTGAACCCTAATAGGGATATATGTTATTTTAACTCAATCCATATACATATTCATGACATATTTGGATTCAGCATTGCTGATATAAAATAATTGGGGAACTATAAGTAATATTCATCACACATCACTTAGTGAAACATAGACAAATTTTCCAGTCATCTTTAAAGGGTCAACTTTTTTGCATCCGACTGGTTTCCTTATCTTGTCACCTTATCATTTAATTGATGGTTGTTGTACAAAACCAGATTTATGATTTCAAGTCCATCTGGTAATTTTGATCTTTAAATATCAGTCAAGGAGAAAAAAAACATCTGTCACATTTTAAAATTTACAGAGATCTGACAATGGACTTTTAAAGTCAATTTTATATAAAAAAGAAAATCTTATTGGTTTCAGGTTAACTTATGGAGATATGGTGACTTTACGGAAGATGACGCCAAAGAGTTCGGCTATAAGAAGTGAAAATGCTTCAGTCTATCTGCTGGTCTTTCACCCCTTCAAGAAGTAATGAGACTTCCAAACGGTTGAAGGACTCTGCAACCATCTCTGTCAACACAAGTGAAACTTAGAAATAATTTAAATGTACACAAGTGGAATCTAGAATTTGTACGAAACAGTACAGAGGAGACTTTTCTCAGACAAACAATGAGTTATGTGCCACAGAAAGGTGACTTTGACTTCTGTCAATCAAATCAAATGCCATTAAATTATTTGTTACAATGATCTGAAAACTGTTCTGAACCTGAAGCTGGATTGTTCTGCTTTTTGTTTTGGTTTGCTGGACAGCTTCTCTAACAAACAGTTGTCTTTGAAAGTAGAAGTTTTACTTTATACTGTAGGCGAGTTGGCTTTAGACTCGAGCAGGAAGTGGTACATGTGTCTTAAGAATTTTTTCCTCTGTCACTGTGTTCGTTGTGATATTACAAAAATTGATGCATTAACACAAGTGGAATCTAGCCAAATTTATTTAACTTTTTTTTTTTACAAAACAAGAAAAATGCAAATATTTAAAATAAAAATTAGACAAAACATGTGGAATCTAGCTATTTTGTGTGTAGTTTTTAATTAGGAGAACTGTATCATTCTGGATATTTGACCATGTTGGTTGTTACGATGAATAACGCCTCATTACCTGAGGTTGGGGAGGCATGACTGCGTTGTTGTGTGAAAGGAGTGTTTGAGTCAGTAACTTTGTTCATGTAACTGGCATGCTTGGTGCTGAGACATTTGACTATGTGTTGATTGCAGTGGCATTTACCCATTCATCCCTGAGGACATTTGAACTCTTCCAATTCAAATGTTGGAATAGTTCATTATGAAATCTCAGGGGCGAATGAGAAATCCCTCTTGTATAATTTTTCAGCCTTGTGCATTCGATTTAATGTATTTATCACCGACTATTATTGGTCATTACTGGTCATTTTCTCACAATGAATGGTCAGAAAGGGGATGATTTTTTTTTTGTTAGTTGCATGATTGAGTACACAGTATAAACTGATGGCACTGTCTCTAGGATAAAGTATTAAAGATGACCTGTTGCTTGATGTATAACCTGTTATAATTGCATTTTAAGACATGTGACGGGGACATGCCCCGGGGATATTTTTGTAAATCACTGCAGCAATCCCTCTATAGGGGGTGGTCTGGTACCAGACTATCACAAAAGGCAGACACATTGAAGCCCTATTAGTGTCCTCACGACAGTAACAGAAGTATTTTTGTATTATTGAATTCAAAACAGAATCTTGTGTTATATTTTAATCAGACTCTGGCCTAATTTGAAGTTACCATTTTAGGATACCTGTCCATATAGCAGGTGTAAACTTGTATATCTGGTAACTTAGGTGGGTACGATGTACCTGTGTTTTACCTGTGTTGTGTGAAACATACACGGGGCGCCTGGCATGGTGTGTCCTGTGCTGGAGTGTGGTAGACGCTTGGCTATCTGTGCAAATAAAGTAAGTTATTCAAGCTGATTGGGAATGGGAATAATATTGTACATTATGTATACAATACATACACCAAACTTCATCTATATGTCACTGTGTCATTGACTGGGTCATCGGGTGGTGTTAGGGCAATGAAATTATTTATTAAAATGTTAAAAATGCCCTTACTGTTTGCATGCACACGCCTTGGAGTGGAAAATTATTATCTGTATAGCAAAATAAAAAAGTTTCAAAAATTGGAACAATCAAATACCGATTTTTAAGTTCTGAGTTTATTTGTTCAGGTGAAGATATGTTAAATACATTTAGAGTAACTATATTTGTGAAAAATATTTCCCCTTATGTTTAGTACTGATTGTGGTTGTTAAAGATAGAAAAAAAGATGCCAATCTTTCTTGTGGAGTCAGTGTGGTGAAAGGGGTCACAGTTTTTTCATGTGAGTAAGATTTGGTTGTACAGTTGTATATGCAAATAAATAATTAAAAGTGCTTCCAGACAATCATTATTCTAAATCACAGGGACGTGACACCTGCTACTTTATAAGTACTGAGATTTACATACAGTGTGACTCCCATTTATAGTTATCTTAAGTTTTATAGCATATTACATATCCCTGTGTTCTATGTTAGACATACTCTGAAAGCACCAGTTGTTTTTTGTTATGTTTCTGAGAACATTAGGACTTGTTCTGAAAGCTTCATATCCATAATTGTCAAAACTGACAGGGGTGATAACTGTGACTGGTGCAAATGCATTATGCTGCTCGGGTCCCTGGATTGTGGGGAAAGACAGCATAAGGGTATATCTTAATTGTGGGATGAATGCAAATAACTATTTATTTTAATTGCATGTTTTGATATATTAGACATGGCCCTCCAAACTCTCCTGTAGAAATAATTTTGAGTGCTGGTCACTGAAATTTAAACCATTTGGTTTAATAACCTCTGTTTTGAAATAACTGTATGCAGAATGTAAAAGATATTTTTAATTAACATTTTTAGTTTATCAGGAATGTACTGTATTTGCAGATGCATCATATTTATTAATATATATCTACAAGCCAATAATGAATAGGCTACATTATTCGCAGCAAATCGGAAGAGTAAGATTTGTGTACATGTGGTAATGGATTTATATGAATCATTGTACAATGTGTGTACACGAAGTTCATAGACTATGAACCCTCGTACCATATAAATTCTATGAACTTGTGATTACCAGGCTTGTGAATTCTTGCCAATGTGTTCACATCTCATTCATATACTATGAACCCTTGCACAATATTGTATACCTGTGGTTCATAGACTTGTGAATCCTTGTATGATTTGTGTATTTGTGGCTCATAAGCTATGGAAACTCGCATGATATCTGTACCTGTGGTTCATATAATTGAGAATCTTAGTATGATTTGTGTACTTTTGGTTCATAGACTATGAACCCTTGTAACTCAGGTTCATAGACTTCTGAAACTATGAACCCTTGTATGATATGTGTACCTGTGGTTCATAAACTTATGAACCCTTGTATGACATGAGTACCTGTGGTTCATAGACTTATGAATCCTTGTATGTGTCTTTTGTTTAAAACGGTTGTTTCCACATAAATGACCCTGTTATTGACACCATTGTGAACATATATATCAACATTAAACCATTTCACGTTACATACACCAGTGTCCTGTGCTTTTGTTGTGTCCAATCAAATGAGAAATAAGAAAATATGCAGCAACCATTTTACTTGACCATAAATTGAACAATATTTGCTATTTTGTATTATAACTGGTGTCCTGATGTTTAGCCTGTAGCTTGCTTTAGTGGGTGGCAGGTTTCAATTAAGTATGTTGACAACGTTCAAACTAGCAGATGTGGAATATTGGGGGGGGAAATAAAGCAGTGAAAAAGTAGAAAAATCAATGCGTTTCAAGATGGTTTCAAACTTTCACAAACTGATTAATGCTATACATTGTACAAATTAATTATTGATTCGGTAGAGACTGGATGTTCTTGAATTACTCAAAATCCTGCTGGTGGACCAAAATGAGTTGACCTATATGAAAGTTCAAAAGGGTCAAATTTGTTGTAACACTCCAACGACGTCATCTGAGTAGCAGAAAGACCTAGAGTCATGATATTTGACCAGTAACTTGCTCACAAAGTTTATGAAAAGAAATAATCATTATACCAGGATGATCCTGGGCATGAAAAATCTAATACAGATGTGCTACAAGGATTGGCCATGGGGTCTGGCATATTCCCTTGGATCTCATTTGGAGAATATTTTGCCATGATTGCTTAGATATCTAGGCGAGCGATGCAGGCCCTATGGGCCTCTTGTTTACCACCTGTAACATGGATTGAATTACTAAGCGCTACACATGTTGTCCGATCTAAGCTGTGTGAAATAGGAATTCAAATAGATTGTTTATCCATGACGTTGCAGTTTGAATCTCCGAATCATATATAATTACTCTCCATAACATATACCAGTCTGAACCCAGAAATTGTATTGCTCTCCATAACATATACCAGTCTGAACCCTGGAGTTCTATTACTCTCCATAACATATGCCCGTCTGAACCGAGGGATTGTATTACTCTCCATAGCATATACCAGTCTGAACCCAGGGATTGTATTACTCTCCATAACATATACCAGTCTAAACCCAGAAATTGTATTGCTCTCCATAACATATACCAGTCTGAACCCTGGAGTTCTATTACTCTCCATAACCTATGCCCGTCTGAATCGAGGGATTGTATTACTCTCCATAGCATATACCAGTCTGAACCCAGAGATTGTATTACTCTCCATAACATATACCAGTCTGAACCCAGGGATTGTATTACTCTCCATAACATATACCAGTCTGAATCCAGGGATTGTATTACTCTCCATAACATATACCAGTCTGAACCCAG